ATCACTGCAGCGGAACTGGATTCATACCTTTGACAACTGGTTCCCAAGTCTGAGCTTTTTTTTTTTTTTTTAATAAGATTTATTTATTTGAAAGGCAGAGTTAGAGAGAGAGAGAGAGCGCTTCTATCCATCAGTTCACTCCCCAAATGACTATAACAGCTTGTGCTGGGCCAGACCAAAGCCAGGAGCCTGAAACTCCATCTGGGTTTCCCACACAGGGCACTTTCCCATGTGGGCCCAAGCACTTGGGCCATCTGCTGTTGTTTTCCCAGGCACATTAACGGGAAGCTGGATCAGTAGTGGAACAGTGGGGTCTCAAACCAGTGCCTATATGGCATCCCCACATTGCAGGCAGCGGCATAACCCACTGTACCACAGTGCTGGCCCTGCATCTGAGCTCTTAACCACTGAGCCACACAGCCTGGACGTCTGCAGGCTGAGGCTGTGGGTCCCACCCCTCCGCTGACACCACCCTGGCTCCCAGAGGCTGCTGACCTGGCTGGGCAGCTGGCAGCCGTCGGCACCATGCTGTGTTGGTCAGCAGGGGACACTGGCCAAGGGCTGACCAGAGCAGAATGGATGCCGGGGCTCACAGAGGCCCAGAGCCCAGAGCAGATTTGGGTAATGAGCAGGGTCAGGTGGCTGTGGTATTGGCTCCGGGCCTGTGACTGTGTATCGCCCAGACGATAAGAGACAAACCTGGGAGTTGACACTAGTTTTCAAAGTATGAAGCGGAGAGGAATCGATGTAAGGGCAGTTCAAGAGGAAAAAGAATATAAAAAGAAAAAAAAAAAAAAGACACAGTGCAAATGTAGAATAAAAATAACAAGAATGCATTGTACAAAGGACAGCGTAGCAAGAATGCATTGTACAAAGGACAGCATAGTACAGCTTCCTGGAATCTTGATTCCCAGTTCGCAGGTTGCACTGAGTTTGGATAGAAATGTATTTCCTGCTTCGTTAGCCGTGGAGAAAATGCCAACACCTCCGATCTAGAGGACAGCTCACCTGACGGGCAGAGCTGCTGAGAATAATTGGAATTACTGGCTTGACCTAGAAGAGGAATTTATCGTTTTGCGTTGAAAGCAGTCTGGCTTTCTAAGAGTCGAGGCAGTACAGACGTGTATGAAACTGGGAAAGGCCCCCCAGCTGCCAGCCCCCTGGCCACTAAGCAGCCCCTGAGCTCCCCCAGGAAAGGCACAGTGCACGCACAATGCCCCTTCCTTTCCTTCTCGCGCAAGTGGGATCATCGCAATACACCCGGGCTTCCACAACTTGCCTGTACAATGCTGTCGCTTCCCGCGACTATCTTTTTTATACTTCGGCCTTATTGAAGTGTAATTCTCACACCTCCCAATCCACCCCTTTGAAGTTTCCAATCCACGGATGTTTCGTAAGTTCAGTCTTGTAGCCACCACCACATGAATCTTGGGACCTTTTCTTCAACTTGTAAGAAACCCAGGCCCCTTGGCGATCATTCCCCATTCCCTCCCAACCTCCAGCCCTGGCAACCACAAATGTACTTTTTGTTGCTGTAGATTTGCCTTTTCTGGAACTAACTAACTTACTTACTTTCTTTCTTTCTTTCTTTCTTTCTTTCTTTCTTTCTTTCTTTCTTTCTTTCTTTCTCTCTTTCTTTCTTTCTTTCTCTCTTTCTTTCTCTTTCTTTCTTTCTTTCTTTCTTTCTCTCTTTCTTTCTCTCTTTCTCTCTTTCTTTCTCTCTCTCTCTCTTTCTTTCTCTCTTTCTCTCTTTCTCTCTTTCTTTCTCTCTTTCTTTCTTCCTCTCTCTCTCTCTCTCTCTCTCTCTCTTTCTTTCTTTCTTTCTTTCTTTCTTTCTTTCTTTCTTTCTTTCTTTCTTTCTTTCTTTCTTTCTTTCTTTCTTTCTTTCTTTCTTCTATTTATTTGAATGGCAGAATTACGGGGCGTGCGGGCGGGGCTCTTCCGTGTGACCCAGCACTCAGATACAGGATGCTGGCATCCAGGGGGCAACTGACTGCTGCAGACAGTACCCCGGAAGGCGTTTGGTTTTATTTGGCTTTGGAGGGGAATTTCTAGGTGTGTTGAGCAGAGCAGTCACAGGGTCTGATGTCTGCTCTGAAAAGATCACTCTGGTTGCATCAGAGCCATTCCTTTTCCCTTCATTGTTCCAGTATTTCCAAGCAGTGACTTCTCAGAAGTGGAATGACTGGGTTGGGTGGGTTTGGACGTTTCAAAATTCCTGGAGGCTACCAGCTGCCTCCTTGAAGACAGCTTGGGCTTTTATTCCAAGGGTGCTGGTTCTCCCGATGCTGGGGCCCTGCAGGGTGAGGTGCCCGGTGGTGCACCTGCGCCCCAGCACCCACTCTCTGGCCTGTGCTTCCCTTGCAGGGCCTCCGCTGCTGCACTTGCCCCGGAACTCTGGCTGTGCCGCGTCCCCCTTGGGTAACACGGGCACCCCTGGAACATGGCCGACGAAGACCTTATCTTCCGCCTGGAGGGCCTTGGTGGCCACCAGTCCTCCCAGACTGGCCACGACGGTGATTCTGATGCAGACAGCGATGAGGAGGAAGGTTACTTCATCTGCCCCATCACGGATGACCCCCAATCCAACCAGAATGTCAATTCCAAGATCAATAACTACTACAGCAACCTAACAAAAAGTGAGCGCTATGGCTCCAGCGGGTCCCCAGCAAGCTCCTTCCACTTCAAGGTAAGTGAACGGCTCACCTGCCCCTCGGGATGGTGAGTTAAGATCGCTGGTTGAGGTCGTCTCTGCTTCTAAATCCTGGCCAGTGCTGGGTCTGGGAGGATGCTGTTGGTGTGAAATAGGTCTCTTTACCTTAGAGTGGGGTTCAGGTAGCTGCTTGGGACCCACTACTACTGGGATGGAAAAACCTTTGAGTCGTGCCCAAAGTGGTTTTATTTATTTATTTTTTTTCAAATAAATAAATCTTAAAAAAAAGAAAGAAAATGTTCTTTCCTATGCATATGGGGACACTTTGAAAAGTCCATGGAAGGTGGAATTACAGATAATTTTATTTTGATGCATAATGCTTTGGAAATTCAGGTTTTTTTTTAAATAATAGGCATTCTCCATGAACTATTAGAAGACTCCCCACATGCGTGAATTTCAAAATTTCTTTGCACCTAAACAAACGTACATTTTCATGCCATTTTCTGTGAACATTTTGTGCATATCCAAGCAAGTGTTTAATTTATAGATAGAAGCGGTAAGGGATTAATGACAATGGCTAAAAATAAAATAAAACAGTTACCACAGTCTACTCTAGTAGATGTTACGTGAATGGGGGCTCGCACTCTCACAATGCCTGATTGTACTGCATGTGTGCGTGGGCTTCACCACTATCTTCTGTTGACTGTGGGTAACTGAAACCACGGCACTGAAACCTGGGGGGGGGGCACCTTCGTGTCCACCCATTGATGCACATAAATGTGGTGGCTCTGTTGGTTGTTGGTGACCGTCCTCTCATGATGTACCTGTTGTTAATTAAAAAAAAAAATTATTTAATGACATGCTATTACTGACATGCTTGCTTTTGTAGGAAGCAGCCTGGGTACTTGATTTCATAAATTATTGAAACCTGCACTTACTCATTGCATGTCATGTATCTGAAACCAGGCTGTGCATTGCACACAGAGAGGCGAATAGTTAACGGATGTGATTGTTCCCATCTGTGCAGCAGAGACACAGAAGTAAAGGCGGAAGTGTAATGGTCTGTTAGTTACTTAAAAATGTTTGAGGTTCTCCTCTAACATTTCCAGCTATTCTGTGTGGTTACTACCGTGGAGGATAGACCACATTCTTGTTCATCAGTGTTTTCAAAAAATACTATTCATTTATTTGCCAGGCAGGCAGAGGGGGAGAGAGAGAAAGAGAGAAACAGAGCAAGCGAGCACACACTCCTATCTGCTGCTTCACTCCCAAATGCCCGCAACGGCCGGAGGACTGAAGCCAGCAACTGGAAACTCAAACTGTGTCTCCCGTGTGGGTGGCAGGAAGCCGGCCACTTGAGCCGTCACCTGCTAACCTCCCTGAGAGGACTAATATTAGCAGGAAGCTGGAATCAGGAGCTGGAGCTTGGTGTTGAATCCAGACACTGATGTGAGACATGCGTGTCTTAACTGCTAGGCTACCCACCCACTCCTAATCAGGATTCTTTAAATAACCTTGAATTGTGTATTGTACACAGTAAGTACTTACTAAATGTTAACTTCCCTTTCTGTTCCCACATGCCAGTATATGACCCCAACTGTTTGTTGTTGGCTTTCAGAATTCATGGCTTTTAAAGCTTTTCCACAGATGAAATTCCTTCTTCCAAATTTATTTGCTGATAAAACCTCAGAGTGGGAAGTTTCCACCTTGAGTGTCTTCTGCCTTGTCCAGTTTTGCATGAAAGATTTTGATGCCCTCCCCTGCGTCTGTGTGTACGTGGATACAGGGGCATGATGTCAGATGTAGTTTCTCCTGTTAGTGTGGCCAGGAAGCCACTGCTTGGAGTTGGACATCCTTCTTCTGGGAGGGTTTGGAAAAGGGCACCTGTCTGTCAGGGGTTTGTGTTCATACCACGAGTCGGGGAGGTGAGAACGTGATTGAGCTTGGTGTAATAACTGCTAGGGAAAATGAAAATGCAATGCCATTGCCTTGTGTAGCCTTTACAGACAACAAGGATTTTGTGTGTGTGTATTTATTTATTTATTTGAAAGAGTTGGAGAGACAGAGAGAGAGAGAGAGAGAGAGAGAGAGAGAGATCTTCTAGCCACTGGTTCATTCCCAAAATGGCCACAACGGCCAGGACTGGGCAATTCCACAGCCAGGAGTTTCATGTGGGTCTCTGACACGGGTGGCAGGGGCCCAAGTGCTTGGGCCGTCTTCTGCTGTTTTTCTCAGGCCATTAGTAGGGAACTGGATCAGAAGTAGAGCAGCCGGAACATAAACTAGTGCCCATTTGGGATGCTGGTATTGCAAGCGGGGGCTTTACCCACTGTGCTGCAGCACCAGCCCCAAACAGCAAGGATTTGTTGTGGGCACTTGGAGCGTTCATTTTTTTTCCAGATCCTTGTCTCACATGAAGTGCAGACACGTATAAGATGTATAAAACAATAATAGAATTTATTCAGAAGGTGAGAAAATGAACACACATGCACTGGGTGTGGTGTGAGCAGTGGGCAGAGGATTTCCCAAAAGGAGGGGGGTTAGGGAAGAGAGAGAGGGTGCTTGTGCAGCACCTCCGGCCATGGTCCCCAGAAAAAAGAGCCATCCCCAAACTTGTTGGCCTCTTTTATGAAGTAGGGGCAGCACCTGTACAGGAGTGATCCCACCTGGGAATTTTATGGTACTTCCACAAGTTCCACATAGAGTTTAATATCCATATTTTCATAGGGTTTCCCCTTAGGTCCTGGATGAAGCAGAGGTATCCCGGGAAGGTGGGCATTTTGATTGACAAGTGGGAGGATGGAATTACATAGGGGGGCTTGCAGCCATTTCCAGCTCACGCAGACTTAATACCTGCTGCCTGCCTGTTCACCCCACATCAGATTGGGGAGGGCATTTAGTGCAGCTTGTAATGCCCTCACTCGTATCGGAGTGCCTGGTTCAAGTCCCTGCTTGTCTGCTTCTGATCCGGTTTCCTGCCAGTTCACTTGGGAGGCAGAAGTTGATGACTCTAAGTACATGGGTGCCTTCTACCCACATGGGAGACCTGGACTGAGCTGTGGGCTCCCGACTTTGGCCTGGCCCGCTGCGTCCTGGTTGTTAAGGGCATTTGGGGAGTGAACCAGCAAATGGTAAGTTTCTCTGTATCTGTTTCTGTCTCTCTGCCTTTTAAATAAAATGAAAACAAATAAAATTTTAAAAAATGAAAAAGAAAACTCTGGGAAAAGAGTGTAGAGGGGGCAGAATTGTGGCACAGCTGATTAAGCCGCCGCCTGGACACCCATAACAGAGCATTGGTTCAAGTCCCAGCTACTCCACACTTCCAGCCCATCATTCATCTTCCTGCTGATGTGCCTGGGAAGGCAGCAGATGATGGTGCAAGTACTTGCGTGCCTGCCATCCTCGTTGAAAACCTGGATGGAGTTCAAGGCATATGGCTTCACCGTGTCTCAGCCCTGGCAGTTAGCGGCCATTTGGGGATTGAACCAGCAGATGGAAGTCTCTCTCATTCAAATAAATAAACCTTTTATTAAAAAAAGTAGAAATGGGGCTGGTGCTGTGGCCTAGTGAGTAAAGCCACCATCTGCACTGCCAACATCCCATATGGGCACTGGTTCCAGTCCTGGCTGCTCCACTTCCGATCCAGCTTCCTGCTAATGTTGCAGGAAACCTGGTGAGAGGGTCCAAGTTCATGTCTTGGTGTCGGTGAGAGCGGACACAAGGGTGCAAGTAAAAGAAGTTAAGTTTTAGGGAAGTAAGAAGTCGAAGCTTCGAACAGTATGATTGGAGGGGCTGGGAGGACGAGAGAGACCAAGCCGCTGAGGTCTCGCAGTCTAGGGGTATCTGTACGGCTTTAGCGCGTCATCTCCCAAGAGCAGAGGCAGCGGTCATACATTAGCCCCTGTGAGGGCTCGGGCAGTCTTGATGGAACCTTTTCTAACTTGTTTCTGCTGAACCCAGATCTCGTTGTCTGTTGGCAAATATTTGTCAAGATGGGCTTCCGTCCCTTTTGTATTGTGTACATGCTGGGAAGGGGCTGCGAGATGGAGTCAGTCTGGCCTGCTTCTAGTCCTGGACTGTCTCATTAATGCGCCTGGGAAAGCAGCGGAAGATGGCCCACATGCTTGGGCCCCTGCACCCCCGTGGGAGGGCTCCTGGCTCCTGGCTTTGGCCTGGCCCAGCTCTGGCTGTTGGGGCCATTTGGGGAGTGAACCAGCAGATGGAAGACTTCTCTCTCTCTCTCTCTCTCTCTTTCTCTCTGCTGCTGCCTCTCCTTCTCTGTAACTCTTTCAAATAATAAATAAATCTTTAAAAAGCAGAAACAGAGAAAATGAAAATTAAATGGTATATAAAAACAGTATCTGTTAGTACTGCACCCAAAATGCTCACTTGGGAAAACTCTTCTGGTCTCTTTTTTTTTTTTAGAAAATAATTTCAGTTCTTGGCGATGTTGAGTGATTTTTTTTTTCCTCTCAGGGCCATAGTTGTAGCTTCAGTCACACTGGGGCTGGGGGCTCCAGAAATAGCCCTGGGGTCTCCTCTGGGCTGGGGGCCCCTGCAGGGACAGGATGTGACTGCCGTGATGTCTTCCATCCACAGGCTTTGAAGGGCAGTGTCAGCCCCGCTGGGGGCGGCCTGGGAAGGACAGGGTTCGAGTTCCTCCTACAGTTCTCGTGTCTCTCAGAGGGGCCTGGTGCTCACAGAACGCCGGCTTTTCATTCAGAGGGAGATGACTTTTCCTGGGACTCAGTCTGGGTCTCATACGTGGGTGTCAGGGACCCGACTGCTTGATCTGTAACTGCTTCCTCCCAGGAGGCCGAATTGGAAGTGGAGCTGAGCCTCAAATCCAGGCACTTCAGTTTGGGATGCAGGCCCCCCAACTGGCATCCTCACTGTTAGGCCAGGCACCTGCCCCTCCAAATGACTCTCTTTAAAAAAAGTAGATACACATAAATTAATATCCGTTTAGCAAAAAAATGTTTGAAGAGGGAATTTGCATCCAACACATAATGGTGATTCTTCCTGGGGGGAGAAGT